AGTCACAGCTTCAGAGCACTCTGGATTTTGCAGTGGGAGCTGGGACTGCTCAGGAAGTCCCTGTCCACAGCACACCTTCCTGGGGAGACAGAACATCACAGGCCCATGACATCCTGAGCTGGGACAGGCCCTACAGGTGGCCTATGGATGCCATCAGCCAGGAAAGCGAGAGGCAGCCTCAGGAGGGATGGCAGGTGTCATGACCACAGACTGTGCCCTGGAGGGGCTGGGATTAGAACCCAGGTCTTTGGGTGCCTCTGCCAGGAAACCTTTCCCATCCTGGAGTTCTCTGCCCTTCTTGGAAAGGAAGGCCTCGTCCTTTTCATCCTGGGAACCACAACGGAAGGGCAAGAGGGAAACAGGCTAAGCTGTTAACCATGCCTGACACCGAGATGAGACTTTCGTCTTAGTTCTGTTTTTCTGCACTCACCAAGATGTCTCCACAGGACATCTGTTGCTTTCATGCCACAAACAAAACAACACAAATCTATGTTTTAAAAAATTAAGTGGAAGGTACGGTGCATATGCTGGAAAGGATTGTGTGCCCGGCTCCCAGCTGACCACAGCAAACAGAGCTAATGAAATACCGCGGTGCAGCATTTCCCAGCGCCAGGGGAGGCATCGGCTGCAGTGGGATGACTCAGAGACAGCGCGCAGGCTGCCCCCCTGGCTGCTGGCAGGGCCTCGGCCCTCGCTCATGGCCTGCGCGCTGCTGCGGCTGCACCCACCGCCTGGCGTGGAGCCGGAGCGGAGTCCCAATTCATTGCCTTTGCTAATTTCCTCTCAAAGCGTGCACCTCCAGATGGGTTCTGAATGGCTCCTGCGTGGTTTCCAAGCTCAACCTGAACATGCAGTGTACTTGGCAATGTTTGCACGTTGCCTTCTGTATTTATGCACGGCCCCCTCCCTCGCAGTCTCTTTAGAGATTTGATTGCTGATTTTGGAATCCAAGCAGACAAGTTGCAACGTGTTTATGTATAAAGGGTGTGAGTGTCCAGGTCAGCTGGCACATGTTCAAGGGTGCTTCAAAAATGTTATGGAAAACGGCGTGAAAAGTTCAGTTTATTGGAGTGGGTGGTTAGTTTAGTGGTGAAGATGCCAGCGTCCCAATTCGGAGTGCCTGGGTTTGATTCTTGGATTCCAGCGTCTCACCAACGCAGACCCTGACTCCGGCCAAGAGCAGTGATGGCTCAAGTAATTGGGTTCAGCCATCCATGTAGGAGATCCTGGCTCTGGCCCTGGTCCAGCCCCAGCCCATCTGGGCATTATAAGAGTGAACCATATCCCTTGTATGCATGGATTTCAAATTAGTTTTGTGTCAAAATAAAGTGACCTTTTTTAAAAATTCAAGATACCAAGAAACAAAAAAAGAGAGAGAGAGCGCACTTATATCCACTGTTTCCCTTAAAGCATGGCTAAGGTACGTCTTCATCCTGTGCATCACTTGCCTCAGGGCTTCTCGTGTTTCACCCCACCTGACCCGACATTAACCACAGTTCCTTGCTTCATGTCTTTCCATTTCTAGGTTGGTCCCCTCTCCCACAGTCCCAAAAGGGGCCATGTCCTTCCCTCCCATTTAAGGCCAAGATCTTCTTCGGCTCTAAGTCCACGACATGTACGCTCTCCAGGTGAGCCAGCTGTCGCCCGGCCACTCTCCCCACTGTGCTCACATGCTGAGTCCTACTCACTCTTTCTTCCCATCTGGATGGAAACATCGCAGGAACAAACACTGAGTTCCCTTTGCCTGTGTGCCCACAACATCCACGATCATGTCTGACACGAGACAGACTTTCACAAACATTGGTGGAACTCATCTATTTTGAGGTACAAGCTGGTAGCCAGCAGGTGAAACCCAGCTCAGGATCACGGTCTGTTTGGCCTGTGTGATAAATCTTTTATTTTTCCATACCCATGTTTAAACATCAGAAGACTTCATATAAAAACCCCACAGTTTAGAATCTCATGAGAAATCTAAATATCTGAACACATCAGGTTCATACATTGCTGTGGTAACTGGGCTCATTAGAAAGGTTGCCCAGAGGCGGGCATTTGGTATAGTGGCTAAGCCACCACTGGGGACACCAACAGCCCATATTGGCATGTGTTGGCTTGAGTCCTGGCTGCACTTCCAATTCCAGCTTTCTGCTACCGTGCACCCTGGGAGGCAGCAGGTGGCAGCTCAGTCACTCAGGTCTCTGCTACCTCCCTGGGAGAGACCCGAACTGAGTTCTGGGCTCCAGGTGTGAGTTGGTGTGGGCATCTGGGGAGTGAACTATGGGACGGAAGATCTCTCTTTCTTCACTTCAAGTAAACACGTAAAAATAAATGGCACTCACTAGCTATCTTCACAGTCCACTCTTAGCCCACATCTCTCTTGGGCCCTGGAGCTAACCCCAGGGACAATTCCTCACATCTGCTCTGCTCAAAGAGATGTTGGAGGAAGTTTTGTTGGTTTCATTTTGGGGAGCTCGCAGGCCCTGACCATATCAGGAAGGTCTCCTGATTTTGAAACACGAGTACATAAAATCCATCATGTGGCCAAGCAAACCATGGCTGCTGGCTGGATTTGCCCCGCTCGCACCAGCTTGTCTTTCAAATAGACGAGGTCCACCAGAAACAGTCAGAGACCAACATGGTGGCCCTAGAATATTTAGAGCGAGCAAGAAACCCACCCTGGCCAAATAATTCTGCTCTGTTGCTGTCCAGATGTTTAGCTAATATCTAAGTCATGATGCTGCAGCTTCCAGCTCAGTTTTAGAACTCAGCTTTGTCTCAAATTTCCTTTGATACCTTTCCCCCACAGAGTTCAAGGGAAGATGTCAGTGACATTATCATCTTCCTACCTACACTTTCATCAGTCATCTCATTCAATTCCCACCCCATCTCTATGCCGTAAGTCACGGGTCTTAGCACAGGTGATTCAATTTTGTGAACATATTGAATTTTCACCACAGGTATGACTGCTTTCACACAAAATGGACAACAGCCACGGGCACAAAGACACCTCAAGAACTGTTTTGCATCTTAACTGCTAACAGCTTTATGAATCTGAATAGTTCAGAGGGAGTTTATTTTTCACCCTGTGCCCAGATGGGGATCGCTGTCAGCAGGAAGAGCTGAGATCCATGGCTGGGATCAAGCTGCAGATTTGGAGGCAGAGGAGTCAGAACTTGACCTACTGGTGCCACCATCTGCTCTGCCTCGCGGACCCAGGAGCTGGGGACTCCCCGGGGGCCCTACAGAATCACCCAGCTGTGGGGGTGTGTTTCACTTGCACTGAATTCAGCCAGCTTTGCGGCTCTGATAGGCAACCTGCAGTGCTGGGCTCTCTCCAATACTGCTTGTTCTATGTGCTTCTTGACACCGTCTAAGGAATCCTAATGCAGTTCACTCCAGTGACCGGAACTGGGAGGCTGGATGATTTTCTTCGGGAGCGCTCAGAGACACCCCCGCCATGCTGGACTCAGGACGGGCGCTCAGGGACTGCAGGGTCTATTTCAGCTGACCTTCTAGAATAGCGGGCCAGCTCTTTCTCTGTGGCTCTGCAACTGTTCTATAGCTGCCCTGACAGACGGCAGAAGACGCGGATTAGCCCGCTAATCACATAAGCTGCGAGGGGAAAATTCATTGTCGGGAGAGATTCTTTCCTCATCGGCTGGAATCTCAAAGTCAGCAGCAGGCACCGCGGGCTCTTTCTGCAGCGCTGCCCAAGACTGATGGTCGCGTTTCTCCCCAGGAACCTCCCACTGACGAATGGCTAACTGCCAGACGCCGAATGCCACAGCGAGAGACTCAGCCTTCCCATCAGCCCTTCCCCCCGTCCCCAAATCACTCCGGGAACCCCCTCTGAGGTCATGCACATCTTTCCTGGACTGTGACCCTGTCTGGGCATGACTGTGGCCACCAGCCACTGAGCAGACATCCGCTCTGGAAGACAGCACGGTGTTTTTTTGGTTTTTTTTTGTTTTTTTTTTTGAGACTTGAGAGACAGGCTGCTGTGATTAACACTGGCATCAGATAACCAAAGGCAGACTGTTTGCCTTGTTTGTCCACCCTCGTCCCACTTACCTGGTGCCTGGCCTGATACCTTACGAGTCTGAACAAGCTCCCAGAGACTCACTGGACCCCTCCGTCTTGATGGGATCCTTCCCTGGTGTATGTCTAAGTGAGAGAGAATGTGAAGCTTATCCCCACATCAAACTGGAACAGGCAACCCTGTTCAAAAAAGATGGCTGTTTCCCGTGTACAGCTTGTATTGCATAGCATTTCCTGCCCCCAATGTTTGTTGCGTAAGCTGACTGATATTTGGCAATTTTATTTGAAAAAGAGATACCTTGGCTTGGCCGTGGTTCACCTGTCCCATGGCTCTGCCTGGCCCAACCTACCCTTTACCCATAGACAGAGACAAACAAGCCAAGCAGTGCTACGTGCCTCTAGTGTAAGCACGGAGCCACCACAGTCCTTTATTCTTGCCATCAGTAACTGATTTGTAGTTTAGCATGTATCTCTACCTTAGATTGCACAGGAAGGTCAGTTGAACAATGGCGTCTTGGTCCTGCCAGCTAATTCATTTCCACGAACACTGATGCCTGGCTGTGTATGAGACACTAAACCAAGATGAAATACATGTTGTGTCTCCCCTCAAGGGGCTTCCAGATCTAATGTGTGGAATTCGGCACATGTACACCTGAGGAGGGAGTACCAAACTGGAAAACAGAAGCAAATTAATTGTCCAGAATGCAACCCATAGCTCTAAAGTAATGGAAATATTTTTGTATGGTTAAGGACATTTGGAAGAGTATCTATCACTTATTTTATCAGAAATTTGGATGTAGATAGAGGGAATTGTGAGTCATAATATTTAAAAATGATAATTTAGGCTTTCTTAAGCATCAGGAATTAAAAAAAAAAAACCAAGTAGATTAAAGGAAAGGAAATCTACAAATATTCCATCCTAGTGAATCTGAACACCCAAAATGGAGTGATAATATTAAAAGCATCCAGAGAGAAAAGACTCCTTACCTACAAAGGGGTAGCAATGTGCAGAGTCTCCACAACACTGGAAGCTGGAAAAGAGGAGAATAACATCTGCAGGTGGAATGTAGCTGCCAAGCTGGCACTATGTGCCCTCCAAGCAGGAATAAAACTCCTTAGGCTGTGATGAGCATTGTGATAGATGAATGAGGTGCTCCGAGAAAGCTTAAGGCGGGGCATCTCACTGTGCATGGTGGTGTTGCTGAGGGAGAAAGGGAACGAATGGCATACAACTAGACTTGGATCCTGACAGATGAGTAGGACTGGTCCTCTAGGGAGTGGGGAGGCTGGACTTCAGCTGCCTAAGGGGTCCCTTAGTCCAAATGAGAAAAAAAACCCTACCTCTCATCCAACATGTTCCACATAAGGCGCTCAGAGTGTAGGCTGTGAGATGCCAGCCCTCCCTGACTGTCCTGCTACGTGGCAGTACGTGGGGCACAATCTGCTCACTCACATTGGGGCAGACAGAGTACAGCACAATAGCAGAGGAGCCAACATCCCCTACTTCCTCACGGTCAGCATGGACTTTCTTAGGCATCACCTGTGGCCGATGCCCATCCCTGAGCTCATGCTGTCAGGAGCCAGAGGCTCAGGGCCCGCTTCCCACGATGGGTCTTCTCTCCAACTCTCACCTTCTTCCCAACATCGCAGGCTTGTCCTTAAGGGAACAATCCTCAATCATCTGAATACTGTCAGGATTTGGCCGAATGACCATAGTCCCCCCAATTACAGAATACTCCACTTCATTCTAGTTAATCCCCTCTCTGAAGAACCTTGAAGCCAACTGCTTGCTGGCCATTGTCAATATCTACAGGGCCTAAGGTACTGTGGATATGAGGCAGACATTCACTAAATTATTTGTGGAAGATAAGTTTAAAAAGATAGCCATATTGAATGGCTTCTGGCCATCAACTCATCTTTATTTAGGTATGCCACAGATGGGGAAAATGTGAAATCCAGAACCCAGCACAGGCAGCCCCAACATTCAAGAGGGAGGACAGCCCTACTATGACGGTCCAGCTGAGAACCACAGATCCTCAGTTTCTTCCTGAGTCCATTAAACAAGTGAAAAACGGCAACAGTTGGTCAAAGTCAAACCATTTGCAGGCTCCAGAGGCATTTCAATGGTCATTAATATTTCTAGATAATTTCTCAAACACAGTGCATTAGCCGGGGTGGGGGGAGGCACTTACAGGGACCACCTCGGAGGAGCTGCTTCCTCTTGGGCCAGATGGGAATGGACCTGGATGTGGGTGCTTCAGGAACCAGCACTGACAACCAGCTGCTTTCAAGCGTGCAGAGGGGTTACTTGCTAAGGCCATGTAGGAGCCCAGATTAGAGACATGACAAATAAAACCCCAGGGAAGTGGGGCTCAGTGACTCCTTGCCAGGGCCAAGAAGGCGCTGGCTCTTCACCTCACCTGTGCTGTCACCACCCGGGACAGATGAACCTGCAAAGCACTTAGCAAGCAAATACGAGTGCTGAGTACAGAGTCCTGTGCCCTCTGCCAGCTTTTACCTGCCTCTCTAGTGTGGGGTGGCACATTGCTAAAAATGACTGACCATACATACTGTGAATAATCCAACTGCTACTGATTGTCCACAGAAGACGGAGGAAACTGAACCGGTTCCTATTCTCAGTTTACCATCAAGGCAACTTTGCAAAGAACTCTTGGCGCTGTCCATGCACCTCTTGGCTTCCCAGCCTTGCACAGTCTTCAACATGTGAAGCTTAGGAACTAATGTCAGGGAGTTACAGCCACAAAACTATCCTTAAGCCTCTTGCCAGCTCCTAACAGAAAAAAAAAAAATCATTCTGTAAGATAAAAAATACTACTTGAAGGGCATAATTCATTCTCCAAACACACACACAGAGTTTTCTCCAAGAAAAGCAACCCTCTTTGCTAGAAACTTCTCTGGGCAGAGATAAGCCTAGTTCTGGCATTCCTGGCCAATGCTCAGGACCCCTTCCTTGTTTACTTTTTAAGGATGGGAGGCTGCTTCAAAGGGACTTGGAGAAGGAGGTATTTTGTATGGTTTCTCTTAGAAGACGGGGGCCAGAGGCTGTGGCCAGGCAGGCTTTCAGCAAGAGGGCATGAAGCTCACAGAGAAAAACCAATTCCTGGTCCTGGAACTTCAGCCTGATCCTGATACCAGCCTGGTATAAGGTGGTGGAAGAGCAACTCTTGGCTTCACGAACCATGGATTGAGGCTTTTTTTTTTTTTTTGGTTGTTGTTCATCTGTACTTGGAGACAAGAATCTGCAATTTTTGAGAGCCTTAAACCTTGCCATATGCTAGAGAGAGAAAAAGAGAGAGAGAGAGAGTGTTACAGTTGAGTTACACTCAACCTAATCTCTTGGTATATCACAGCTCAGTCACATCCATTTTGACACTTGGAGAATAGAAATAGATTTGGGAGCAGAAATAAGAAACCTATCTATCTTGGAATTTCTCAAGTTCTTTTTGCTAGTGTATGTGTACTTGAAAAAGTTCAAAATAAGCTGACGTCTGAATTTTCCCACAAACTTTCTGACATCCCCTTGGATTTGCTGTTTCCCTGGGGAGCCTTGGCTGTGATCAAAGTCAAACAATGAAGAGCTCAAACGTTTGAATGTCTTTGATACATCAGATCGGGCAAGCCTGGGTGAAAGGCAGAGAACAGACGTGCTTTATTTCTTAGAACGCGGGCTGGGGGGTGGGGGACGGCGTGGGGGTGGCGCGCCTAGGGGCACGGCTTCACGTCGAATTCCTGTGGGCGATTCCCATTCTGCTGTCTTCACAGCCTCCTTAGGTATGGGGAAGGCGGTCATGCACTGATTGCTACACCAGGAATCCAAGTTCAGAGAGCATCAAGGCACAAGGCCGGACGCTGTTGAACTTGCCTGTTTCCCACTCCGTGGTTTCTTGACAAAATGTCGTATTAGTTTGTTGGTTTTCTTGCTGTTCTACTAGGAAGGAACATAAAATTCCAACTTGTTTATACCCACATGGTTACGTCCAAGGGGTAAGACACATACTTACCCTGAAGCAGGCTGCCGAGAGGATGAAGAACTGACCACAGAAATTAGGTGACCAGGGACAGTGTTCCTGTTAAATATGTCAGCAAATATTTCCTTGGCAATGGTGCAGCTCCTGCCTTGGGGAGTTGATATTATTTAGAGAGGAAGTGGAGATGAGCAGTAAAATATTTAACAATTAGAAGATGGCAAAACTAGAAGCAAACAAAGGCAGAGACTTTCTAGGCGTTTCCAGAGTGAAACCGGAGACAGAGAAAAGCTGGCAGGGCCATTCAGTCCGGGACGCCAGTCTCTCAAGTCAGCCTTCCCTCTGGAGGGCAAATGCAATTCACGCTGTCTTGGGCTCTTACTAAAATTATTTCTCCAGGTACAGAATTTAACACCATTGAGAGGGCTTTGAAAGAAGAAGTGTTGGAGAGAGAGTGAGCGAGCCTATGAAGCAGAGAAGAGAAAATGGAGGCAAGAGGAGAGGAAGGGTATTTAAGAATGAAGAAGAGAAGCCGGCGCCGCGGCTCACTAGGCTAATCCTCCACCTTGCGGCGCTGGCACACCCGGTTCTAGTCCCGGTTGGGGTGCCGGATTCTGTCCCGGTTGCCCCTCTTCCAGGCCAGCTCTCTGCTGTGGCCCGGGAGTGCAGTGGAGGATGGCCCAAGTCCTTGGGCCCTGCACCCCATGGGAGACCAAGATAAGCACCTGGCTCCTGCCATCGAATCAGCGCGGTGCGCCAGCCGCAGCGCACCAGCCGCGGCGGCCATTGGAGAGTGAACCAACAGCAAAGGAAGACCTTTCTCTCTGTCTCTCTCTCTCTCACTGTCCACTCTGCGTGTCAAAAAAAAAAAAAAAAAAAAGGAAAACAGAAAAACTTTAACACTCTACCATCCTCCATGAAACTAGGAGACAACCTCAACTCCAAACTGCAGTGGGAGAAAGACGCCAAATGCAGTGCCACGAGGACCTCGCTGAGGGAGGGCGTGAGAACACACTCCAACCACTACAGACCTCCAAGGGCACACAGTGTGCTCCAGAGGGGCTGACCCAGCCATTGCCTGACACAAGTGCTGAGGATGTGGACAGGGCCCAGAGGCTCCCTGTGTCCTGCTGCCGGCTATGGGGCTGTGGGTAAGGCCCCCCGACACTGAGCATACAAGCATGTCTGGGATAGGCAGCACAGTTACTAGGGACCCCGACCTGACACTGGGTTTGCACCAGTGACCCCAGACCTGCTGGTCACAAGGGTCTCAACCAAAGATGAGCCCCTCCCCAAGGGACAGCTGCCAATACCTGGAGATATTTTGGATTCCCGCAACTGGAACCAAGTGGGTAAAGGCCCCAGATGCCATAAACATGTAATATGCACAGGGCAGTTCCCATAACAAAGGATCACACAATCCAAAATGCTCACAGCGCCATGTTGAGAAGCCTCTGACCTTGGACAAATTACTTAAAATTTCTGGACCTTAATTTTCTCATCTGAAGAATGGAACTGAAAAACACACCTTCTTTTGGGCCAGCACCGTCATCATTGCAGCTGGTCAAGTTGCCACTTGTGAACCCGGCATCCATATCAGAATGTCAGGTCAAGCCCCGACTACTCTGTCTCTGACGCAGCTTCCTCCTGAGGCACCTGGGAAGGCAGTGGAGGATGGCACAAGGACGTGGGTCCCTGCCATCCATGTGGGAGACATGGATGGAGTTCCTGGCTCCTGGCTTCGGCCAGGCCCAACTTTGACTATAGCAGCCACCTGGGGAGTGAGCCAGCAGGTGGAAGACTTTGTCTCTTCCTTTCTCTCTCTCTGCATTAATCTGCCTTTCAAATAAATAAATAAATAAATAAATCTTTTCAAAAAACCTGTTTTGCTGAGTTATTGTGCTGCTTAAAGCACACATATGTTTCATATGAAGCAGTATTTTACCCAGTTCTTCTTGACACATTTGTAAGCACTCAATAATGGCAATTCTCTTGCTCTCTTTCTTGCTAAACAAGTACAAAGGCACCTGTTTGACTCTACGACCTATTACCAAGGTTTGACACCATTCAACCTCCACAAATCATCTTTAGCAAAAACCCTCTAGCAGTTTCTATGAGTGACTTCACCTCATTGGTCTCTGTTCTTGGAGAAAAGTGCTGAAAACCAGTGCAGGTTATGGTCAAGGGAAGTCCAGTTCAATCATTTGATTGATTGATTATTCTTCCCTTTTAGAATAAGGACCATAACCCATCATTCCAGCATGACCTAAACAAATTACAGGAAAACCCAGGACATCTAAACCTTTGGACAATTAATTATTCTTTGGTATGTTTTCGGGATCATGGAAGATTTACATAGGTAAGCACCCACATTCAACTTGAAACATCTTTTAAAATCACCCTAAAGTGAACTATATACCTCTTTGAATTTATAACAGAGTGCATTCAACAGCGTAAGCTTTTCTGCATGATTCGAGGTCATGACTACTAACATCAATTATCACATATGCTTCAGTACAATGATGGCTTTAGGATCTACTGAGGTTTGTTGGATCTTAATCCACACACTAAATAGCCCCAGAGCACTATGCTGTTTGATCTTTTGTTTACATTCATTAAGAGGATTACTTTCCGGCCTAATTCCTTGTTATAGCATTTCTAGCTAGCTCTTCCCTTAAAAAAGTCAAGGGTGGATTCAAAATTGTAGGGACCTGAAACTTGCACAATTGATGGTTGTTTGGGAGGAGATCTTTAAGAAAAAAAATTACAAATACAAAAATTAGATAGCAGATTGGACAATAGGAGATGTTCCCACTCCAGTTAAACTAGCAATGATTTCATAATACAGAAGTGACTGTAAGACGTACAAATATATCCCAATAAACCCTACTGGACTTGACTGGAGCTCAGGAATGCCTGCAGCCTCTCTAATTCCATGTGATCAGAGGCTTTGTGCACTGCAGGGCCGGTGAGAGCAGCAACAGCGGGCTGAACCCACTGCGGCTCAAATAGCTTAGCTTCACAAATTTCACAAAACCTATGATCGAGTGCAGTAGTCAGCTTTGCATTACTACAATGAAATACCTGACACTGGCTTTACAAAGAGAAGAGGTTTGTTTTGCTCACAGCTTTGGAGGTTCAAGGACACAGCACCTGCGTTGGTTCAGTTCCGGTGAGGTGCCCATGGTGAATGGTAGATGACAGTGGCAGGAGAACAAGCTATCACATCTTAGCAGCAGACAAGGACTGGGGTCCCGCAACCCCTTTCAAGGGCCTGCTCTAGTTGACCCAAGGACCCTCCATAGGCCTCACCTCTTAAAGGTTCTACCATTTCCCAACACTACCTCCACCCTGGGGACCAAGTGCCCAATACATGAACCTTTGGAGATACACAAACTCTGTATAGAGCATCACACCTGACCTGCCTGGGGGCGCTTACCACTGACCTACCTGAGAGTGGTCTTTGCAGTGCTGTTTGTTCTCATCTGTTATGAGCTAGAAAACCAGAGCCCACCTCGACAGTGCTGAGTATGACAGAAGAATGAATGGGCTCTGAATAGGACTGAAGTCATCTCCTTAGAGAACAGCATAGAGACTTATGTGCCCAGAATTTGAGACAGGTGCACAAAATGTCTCTTTGCCTTATGACTTATTTATAACTGTGTTTCTACCACAGGAAGCCAAGGAAAAACTAGTCTATAGGTTAGAGTCATTTTTAAAAAGCATCTTCTTAGTATAAATAGTTTTGAATATGGTTTTGGTTAAAATAAACCTGACCGTAACTGGTACCTTTTCTGGTTGTGAAAATTCAAGACTTGGGTTTTCAAAAAAAGCAAATATTTGCTTGTGTCTCTTTTTGTTCTTCCTTACCAGTTATTTATTTTTATTTATTATTTTGAAATAATTTTTTCTTGGAGAAAAGTTGCAATAAATGTTCCGAGATCTCCGATACGTTTTACCTAGTTTCCCCAATAACTTCTCAGATAACTATAACACAACTATGAAATCAAGGAATTAACACTGAGTCAATGCTAGCAACTCATCTGTAAACCATACTTGAATTTTGTCAGTTTCCCACTAAAGTCTCTTTTTCTGGCCCAGGATCCAGTCCAGGAGTTCGCACTGCACTGAGTTGTCATGTGTCCCAGAAAGACTTTCAAGGGTGGTAGCTTGAGTCTTTGTTTTCTGTGATCTTGACACTTTTGAAGCATATGAAACAGTTATTTTGTAGAATGTTCCTGAATTTGATTTATCTGCTGGTCTCTCACAATTTTTTTTTTTTTTGCAAGAAGACCAGGAGGTTATGTTATGCCCTTCTCATTGTCCCATGTCAAGAGATACACAAGACCCACATGTGTCATTGTTGTGATAACTGATGTGGTGGTTGGGGTGGTGTCTGCCAGGTTTTTCTACCATAAAAACATTATTTTTCCCTTTGTAATCTTTAGGAGAGGCTATGCACACAATTCTATTTCTTGTTATACACTTACCCATTAATTTAATGCAAGTGATGGTTCTTAACTGAACCATTACTGTTGGCCCAAGTAATTTTTACTCACAGCTTTTCTTTTAAATTTATTACTTGAATTTATACTGTAGGAAAAAGTTATCCTTTCTAACCCTTTTGATTATTCATTCAATTATTCACATCAGTTAGGACTCAGAGGTAATTATTTTATTCAATGGTATATAATCCATAATTACCATTTGCTGTTGCTCAAGTTGTCCCAAATGTCACTAGATATAGCCCCTTCAATTTCTTCAATCTTTTCAAGATATGCAAGGTCATACTTTCCAACACAAAACATCCCCAACTATTCTTATATTTTCCCTGGTTCAGTTTTGGAGTCAACTAATTCTTTAAGGATCCCTGGTTCCTTTCATTGGAGAATGGCATTTAGGAGCCAGGATACAGGTGCCAGGTGTGCTCAATGCTTATGAGAGTTGGTAAAGGAAGTCCATGGGTGCACATGGCACATGCACACACATATTTCTATTTGCTTCTTCCTCTCTTCTGTATAAATAACAAAAGCAGGAGCTCATGCTGAGAGCTATTCCAACACCACAGGGATCATTGCGGCTTCCTCCCCTTACCTTATTTGTAACTCATTCCTTCTACTTGAAAAATATGGCTCTCATTAATCACAATGC